CTTTGGTCATAAATGTCCAGAGTGAGACAGGAGAACTCTGCAGTCCACAAGAGTCCTCCTGACTCCCCCTGAGAGATGCCCGCCTGCCTTTCCCACCTGTCCAGGGCTCTCCTCCCACTGTGGAGGTCTGCCTGTGACCACCTTGAGGCACCCTGGGGTGACCCATAGCCAGTGAAGATTTGACTAGGAAGCTGTCCCTGATCTGATCAAGCACAAGCTCCCAAGGTCATGACATGGCCAGGCTGCCGTCGGTGACACACATGAGACTTTAACCATTGCCCATTTTGAGCTGTAGGATTAAAGAGACAGGTCTGTGTGACACCAGTTATCCCAGGTATTTTATTGTTACGAATGGACTTTTGAGAGATTCTGGCTTCACTGAGTTAGTCAAAGGAGCTGAGAGCCGCTCTAACAATCTGGTTGGTTGGTTGAAATCTGGTGGAGGTTGTTGTTTGTTGTTCAGTCACTAAGTCCTGTCTGACTCAGCAACCCCATGGACTGCAGCAAGTCAGGCTCCCCTGTCCTCCACTGTCTCCTGGAGTTTGCTCAAATTGTTCATTGAGTTGGTGATGCTATCTAACCATCTCAATCATCTGCCGCCCCCTTCTCCTGTTGTCTTCAGTCTTCTTTCCCAGCATCAGGGTCTTTTCCAATGAATCGACTCGTCACATCAGGTGGCCAAAATATTGGATCTTCAGCTTCAGCAACAGTGTCCCTGGTATCATTCAGAGGAAAGAATACAAAACCTGGACCTCATGCTGGGGCTGTGGGTAGGTCGGAAACCAGCCAGTCACCCACCTAGTAGCCCTTCAGTAGGCTCATGGTGTTAGACACCATGGAGGGGGCAACACACGCATCAAGTCGTTACTCAGCATATAGATTTGCCTTCACTGCCTGCAGTGCTTCTGCCAGCACCACCATCCATGCCCAGACTTTCAGAAAGCCTTACGGAATGATGGATCGTGGTTTCAAGGTAGAATGGGATTGCTGCTACACAGTGGGTGCAGGGAAGAGTATATCTAGAATTTGAGGGATTTTTGGGCAGCCCTTGGTCCATCCATACCTTGTAGTAAAACTTACTAGAAGACTACAACAATCTAATAAAGGCAGAAAAACCAGGGACTCAGACTCTTCAGGAATGAAGGTTTGTGTTTCCCACCAGAGAAAGGAGCCCTGTCTGCCTGCTAGAGTGCTTGCAGAGGGAACAGGGGATGGGTAAGTGGAAGAATGACATTATAAAAATGAACTACAGGAGAATTCCCTGGTGGTCCAGTGGTTGAGATGCCATGTTTTCAGTGCTGGGGGCATGAGCTCAATTCCTATTCAGGGAACTTAGATCCTGCATGCTGCCTGATGTGGCCAAAAAATTTTTTAATAAAAATAAAATAAATAAAAATGAATTACAGCTCTGTACCCACAACAGAAATAAGGACTGTAGCAGATATGTATTTCTTCTTCCTTGCTTGTTACAAATTTCAATACATTAACCAAGTATTTCCTTTCCCACCTCCTCCCTCCTCCTCCCATTTCATATAAAGAGTGGTGGTGGTGGTTAACTTTAAATATTATTTTCCAGATCACATAATATCCAAATGTGTTTGTGACAGAGCTAGGACAGAAATTAGCACCCAATGACGGATAAGGGGAATTCTAAGACTTTCTGTCTCCTCTTCTTTGGGCATCTTTACTGGAATGAAAAACAGTTGTCCCATGTTGGGTAGAAGTGTGATACTGTTATTATTGTACAGAAATTAAGCATGAGCAGAAGGGTGATAATACTGAACTGTCATGGGATTTCCTAAATAAAGTCTATTTGGTCATAATGACCCCAATTCTTTTTTCCAAACAATTTTTTAAATTGAAGTATAGCTAATTTACAATGTTGTGTTGGTTTCAGGTATACTGAAATGTGTTTGTGTGTATATATACATTCTTTTTCAGGTTCTTTTCCATTACATATCACTACAAGATAAAGAAAATAGTTCCCTGTGCTATACAGTAGGTCCTTGTTGTTTATCTATTATATATATAGATATTGGGTCCCAGTTCTTTTAATGTGTTTCTGGATTCCATTTGCTAATATATTATTTATCAGTAGTTATTTTGTATCAATATTTATAAGTAAAATAGGTAAATAATAGTTAAATAGGTAAATTCTTATAAAGCTTTGGAATTAATGATGTATCACCTTAGTTAAAATAATGTGGAGATTTTTTTCCCCTTCTTTTTCTGTGCCCTGGAACAGTATTCAAATAATCTCTAAAGGTTTGTTAGAATTTTTTGCAAAACCATCTGAGTCTGATCTTTTAGGGAAAGCTGTTGGCTCTTGGAAAACTCTCCTTTATTAGAAATGTGTTTAAATTTCCTCTCTTCTGGGATATTTTTGATGAATAATTTTTAGAAAATGATGCAGCTTTTCAAATTTATTTTTTGTGAACAATGAATAAATTCGCTTATAGTCTCATCTTCCCTCCTTCCCTCTCTCAACTCTATCACCAACCTTTTGTTTTTAGTCTTAGTTCTATGTTAATTATATTTAACATTCACTCCCCTCCTCTCACTAAGATTTACTCAGTTATCCTTTGGCTGACTCCAGTTCATCCTCTAGTAATTTCTTCAAGAGCTCATGAGAATAACATTCCTAGGATTGTACATCTTCAAAACTGCCTATGATTTAGAGAATAAAAAGACATGCCACAGTCTGGGAAAAAAGTATTTGCAAAATATATATCTGATAAAAGACTTGTATCCAAAATTTACAAAGAACTCTTAAAATCAACAATAAAAAAATAAACAGGGATTTCCCTGGTGGTCTAGTGGTTAAGAATTCACTTTGCAATGCAGGGGATGTGGGTTGGACACCTGGTTGGGGAACTAAGGTCCTGTATGCCATGGAGCAACTAAACCCACGAACCACAATTAGGGAAGTCATACACCGAAACAAAAAATTCCACATGACACAGTCAAGAACCCACAAAGCTAAGACTAACTAAGAGCTGATTAAGCCAAATAAATAATACATTTTTTTGAAAAAAGAAAAGAAAATGAACAGGAATTTTCTTTGTGGTCCAATGGTTAAGATTGTGCTCCCAGGGCAGAGGGAGGTTCAATCCCTGGTCAGGGAACTAGATTCCCCTATGCCTCAACTAAGACCCAGTGTGGCCAAATAAATATTTAAAAAGAAAGAAAGAAAACAATTCAAAAATTAGAAAAAGATCTGAATAGCCATCTCACCAAAGAAGACACATGGATGGCAAATAACTGTCTGGAAAGATGCTCCACATTATTTTTCACTAAGGAATTCTACATTAAAACAAGAATGGGTATAATGTCACCCTTATTAGATGGCTAAAATCCAAAACACTGGCAATGAATATTGGCAAAAAGGTGGAGCAATAGGAACTGTTATTATTTCTAGTGAGAATGCATAACAGCACAGCTTCTTTGGAGGATAATTTGGAAGTTTCTTACAAAACTAAACATAGGCTTACCTTACAATCCAGCAATCTCTCCCCTGATTGTTTACCTAAACAAAGTAAAAACATAAGTCCACACACACACACAAAACCCTGTAAACAAATGTCTATTTTATTTATAATTGCCAAAAATTGGAAGCAACCATGAATAAGTGAACTGTGGCACTTCCCTGCAATGTAATATTATTCAGTGCTAAAAAGAAATGACCTATCAAGTCACACAGGAAATTTAAATGCATATTACTAAGTGAAATAAGCCAATCTCCAGAATTCCTTGGTGGTCCACTGGTTAGGACTCTACAATTCCAAGGCAGGGGGCACAGGTTCGATCCTTGGTCATGGAGCTAAGATCCCACAAGCCTCTCAGCCCAGCCAAAAAAGAAGCAGCAGCAGCTAGTCTATAAAGGCTACATGGTATATGTTTCCAACTCTGTGAAGTTTAGGGGAAAGAAAAACTATTGAGACAGTAAAAAGATCAATGGTTGCCAGGAAGAGTGGGAGGTGGAGGAGAGAAAAAGTGGCCTTTTTATAAAACTTCTGACTCATATTTTCTTTCCCTGAATATTTTGTGCCATCTCTTCTGGCATTTGATCTGGGTCTGCAGACATCAAGCGTAGCCTGTTTTTTATCCCCTTATAAGTGACTTGACCTTTTTTCCTGGCTGCTCAAAAAATTCTGTATTTTTTAAAATTCAATAACTTGATCAGTTTTTCCTGGCATTTAGCTTTTCTCTTTCACTGGATAGAGTCAAGTCTCCCGTATCTCAGAAACACTTTCTTGAATCATATATTCAAATGTGTGTTCCCCAAACTTCCTGTTTCATTTCTCTGTTTGCGGTGTTTTTCTTTCATTGTTTCCTGTAATCCAATCAGCCCTCATTCCACATGCTGCTGTTGTCCTGTGATTTATTTTCTGAGCAACTGCATTTCTGCTTTCTCATCTTTCTTCATCAGAATGATTGCTTAATGCTTTTTTTTTTTTTAATTCCTAGTAAAATGTTCAATCACTGCTTTCAACTGCTACCTGGCAAAATTTTTCCTGGTGAATACTCTTCACCTGTTTGTGCATTTTACACCTATTTCTCACATTTTGCCCCCTTTGGTATATCCGCTTGATGCTGTTCTAGTTATCTTTTTGGACTCGTCATTGGATGAGTTGGGTTTTCCCAGGTTAATATTTGCAGTGTCCTGTCCAGCATCGCAGCCCAAGGCCTCTCTGTCCGACTGCTTCCTCTAAACAAGACTTCACTGTGGGAGTCTATGTGGAGACCCAACTCCGCTGCTTCACAGAACAGGCAGTGAACAGAATAACGGCTCCAGCCTCATTCCCTCTAGTTCCTGCTTCCTGCTCTACCACAAGGATACTCTAGAACTGTCATCTCGAGACTTCTCTGAAGGTCCAGTGATTGGGACTTCACCTTCCAATGCAGGCCAGGGCAGGTTTGATCCCTGGTCAGGGAGCTGGGATCCCACATGCCTTGCGGCGGAAAAGCCAAAACATAAAACGGAAACAACACTGTAACAAATTCAATAAAGACTGTAAGAATGGTCCACATCAAATCGAAAAAAAAAAAAAAGAATGGTCCTCTCACCTTCTGAAAGCGTATTTTTGTTTCGACTCTCAGAAAAGTGCAGCCCCCCTCCATCCTCTTGCTTGTTCCTACCTTCCCTTTCTCCTAATCACCGTCTCTGCCTTTTCACGGCTGGAATTTTGGTGTCTGTGAATAGGTCTATTTTCTCATTTTGTTGAAAATGGAATTTTCCATTTTCTTTATTCCTTTTACGTGATCTTCAAGCAAAGCATTTAAAAAGCTGACTTCTGTGGTCGTGTTTGGATTGGAAATCCCTTCCGGAGATTTGAGGATGCTAAAATAGAATGGCCAGCGGCTGTGGTTATGGCCTCATGGAGAAGTGGGTCTGACTGTCAGAAAGATGCCAGCGAGTTCCATCTCCTGCGGCGGAGGCGGCGGCGCGACGGCGGCGTCAAGTGCGGGGTCGTGGATGACGAGACCCAGCTGGCGGGGGGCGCGGAGCCGGTGGGCGAGGACGCCACCACGCAATGGGCGCCACGGGACCGAGCGCCACAGCGCCCGGGGCACCGAACAGGAACTGGAAGCCTAAGAAAGAAGCGATTTGTGTCCAGCCCCCGCTATGTGGAAACGATGCTTGTGGCTGACCAGTCCATGGCCGAGTTCCACGGCCGCGGGCTAAGGCACTACCTCCTGACCTTGTTCTCCGTAGCCGCCCGGTTATACAAACACCCCAGCATTCGCAATTCAGTGAGCTTGGTGGTGGTAAAGATCCTGGTCATCTACGAGGAAGAGAAGGGCCCAGAAGTGACTTCCAATGCTGCCCTTACCCTTCGGAACTTCTGCGGCTGGCAGAAACAGCACAAACCGCCCAGTGACCGGGATGCGGAGCACTATGACACGGCAATTCTGTTCACCAGACAGGACCTGTGTGGTGCCCAGACATGTGATACTCTTGGGATGGCGGATGTTGGAACTATATGTGATCCCAGTAGAAGCTGCTCTGTCATAGAGGATGATGGCTTACAAGCCGCCTTCACTGCCGCCCACGAATTAGGCCATGTGTTTAACATGCCCCATGATGATGCCAAGCAGTGTGCTGGCATTAATGGTGTCAACCGGGATTCCCACATGATGGCGTCAATGCTTTCCAATCTGAACCACAGCCAGCCCTGGTCTCCCTGCAGTGCCTCCATGATTACAACATTTCTGGATAATTGTCATGGTGAATGTTTGATGGACGAGCCCCGGGTTGCCATACAGCTGCCCTCCAATCTCCCGGGGACCTTGTACAATGCCGACCGGCAGTGCCAGTTCACGTTCGGAGAGGAGTCCAAACACTGCCCAGACGCGGCCAGCACCTGCTCGATTCTCTGGTGCACGGGCACCTCTGGCGGATTGCCCGTGTGCCAGACCAAACACTTCCCCTGGGCTGACGGCACCAGCTGCGGAGAGGGGAAATGGTGTGTCAACAGCGAGTGCCTGAACAAGAGCGACAAGAAGCACTTTGATACCCCTGTTCACGGAAGCTGGGGGCCGTGGGGGCCCTGGGGAGACTGCTCGAGAACGTGTGGAGGCGGAGTTCAATATAGGATGAGGGAGTGTGACAACCCGGTGCCGAAGAACGGAGGAAAATACTGCGAGGGCAAGCGCATGCGCTACAGGTCCTGCAACATCCAGGACTGTCCGGAGATTAACGGAAAAAGCTTTAGAGAGGAACAGTGTGAGGCACACAATGAATTCTCCAAAGCTTCCTTTGGCAGCGGGCCCGCAGTGGAGTGGATACCCAAATACGCAGGAGTCTCACCCAAGGACAGGTGCAAGCTTATCTGTCAAGCCAAAGGCATTGGCTACTTCTTCGTTTTGCAGCCCAAGGTGGTGGATGGCACCCCTTGTAGCCCAGATTCCACCTCCGTCTGTGTGCAAGGACAGTGTGTAAAAGCTGGCTGTGATCGCATCATAGACTCCAAAAAGAAGTTCGATAAATGTGGCATCTGTGGAGGAAGTGGATCTACATGCAAAAAAAATATCAGGATCAGTTACCAGTGCAAAACCCGGCTATCATGGTATCGTCACAATTCCAACCGGAGCCACAAACATCGAAGCGAAGCAACGGAATCAGAGAGGATCCAGAAATAACGGGAGCTTCCTGGCCATCAAAGCTGCCGACGGCACGTATATCCTGAACGGTGACTTCACTCTGTCCACTTTGGAGCAAGACATCACGTACAAAGGTACTGTCCTGAGGTACAGCGGCTCCTCGGCGGCACTAGAAAGAATCCGAAGCTTCAGCCCTCTCAAGGAGCCCTTAACCATCCAAGTCCTGACAGTGGGCAATGCCCTCCGACCCAAAATTAAATACACCTATTTCATGAAGAAGAGGAAGGAATCTTTCAATGCCATCCCTACTTTCTCGGAGTGGGTCATTGAAGAGTGGGGTGAGTGTTCCAAGTCATGTGGGCTGGGTGTGCAGAGAAGGCTCGTGGAGTGCCGGGACATCAACAGACAGCCTGCTTCAGAGTGCACCAAGGAAGTGAAGCCAGCCGGCACCAGACCTTGTGCGAACCTGCCTTGCCCCCGCTGGTAGCTGGGGGACTGGTCGCCGTGTTCCAAGACTTGCGGGAAGGGTTACAAGAAGAGAACCTTGCAGTGTCTGTCCCATGATGGGGGGGGGTGTTGTCTCATGAGAGCTGCGATCCTTTAAAGAAACCTAAACACCACATAGCCTTCTGCACGATGGCAGAGTGCAGTTAAGCAGGGGTGGTGCTGAGGGATGGGGCAGTGGGGAAGGGCTGATGCACTGAAATCAAGAGGGCTGGAGGAATCCAGGGTGCCTTGCCCTGGTGATCAACCAGGGGTGGTGATGAGTTGGGAGGTAGAGGTAGGTAGAAAAGAAGTTAGATCATCAGTTTCCTGCCAGTTACAAACCTGATAGTGTAGTTTATGAGGACTATTCCTATCTGACCAATGAGGTAGCATAAGAGAGCCCCAGGGCATTATCATTTCTTTTGTGAGGTTCCTGACAAGTTCTGATGAAAATAGAAGCAATGGTCAAAAGTAAGTTTAAGAAATATGAACAACCCCTGCTTCCTGATACTGACGAAATACTGTGTATCATGGAGGTTGGGAAATGAAATGCAGGAAGAAGGTGAGATTTTTGCTTTAAGACATGGCTTACTTTACCTCACTATGAATGGAGGGAGAAAGGAATGCACATAGGATCTTTGACCATCACTGTTCCCGGCTGCCATGGTTTCAGAGAATGTTTATGCCGTCTTGGAGTTAAGAATTCAGGACTGTCCAGCACAAGATATGCTTCGCAATGTCCATGACTCACATGACTCCCATATTTCCTCTCTTGTGTTATTATTGTGTCTTTCTTTGTGAATTCCTTTTGACCTAGAAACAATTGCATGTATTTGTAAACATACCATAAATTCTACAAGGGGAAAAAAAAACCAGTAGTGATGTATCAGATGCTAGTAAAAGCTTGAGGAGGCCTCATGACCTGGGGCCCTCCTTTATTTCTTTCCTCCTGATGTAAGCCGACTGAAGGAATGTGGATGCGGGGGGGAAAAAAAAAACACAAAAAAACAGTTTGTGTCTGAAGAGAATCAGTAAGATCACCAAAAAAAAAAAAAGAATGTAATGCCAGAACGAGAATGGGGTGTGTACAACAGGGTACCCGGTGTTGGGGACCTTGCGATCACATGTCTTGTGGTGGGGAGGCTACTGAGGGGTAGCGGCTGGCCCACCCCCAGCAGCTGGTCCAACAGTCATATCCTGGTGAATCTCTGTTCAGCTCTTCTACTATGAAAGAAAATGACTTTTTTTCCATATGTATATAGTAAAATACGTTACTATAAATTCTATGTATTTTATAAGTATTGGTTTGTGTGTTCCTTCTAAGAAGGACTATAGTTTGTAATAAATGCCTATAATAACATATTTATTTTTATACATTTCTTTCTAATGATAAAACTTTTAAGTTATATCGCGTTTGTAAAAGGTCATATAAAAAGAGTATTTATACGATATATGTTACTAGAAAAATAAAAGGACACTTTTTGAAAAAAAAAAAAAAGATGCCAGCATGCAGGAAAAGAGTGTCCTGACAGCGTTTGGGGTCCTTCCAGGAGCCTCAAAGATCCGCTCTACCCCTGTCCTTCATAAGGTTTGGTTTTATGAGTCAATAAACTCTCCTTTTGGTTTCTGTCACTTTCAAAAAGGGAGTTCTGACAAATACAGGGAGTAGCCAGGCTCCCTGGTAATCTTTTCCTTGTTAGCTTGGCTTGTCCATGTCCCGCTGCCCCAGTCTGACACATAACACAAAGTGGCTGTTGATCCCCAGTAGGAGTATAAAATGGGTCCCCTCCTATAAACCAGCATCAAACATGCCAGGATGCAAGAAACAGTCAACCACAGGAAGCCCCGCATCCTTCTACCTCATCCATGAAAAAAAAACACAAAAAAACAGTTTGTGTCTGAAGAGAATCAGTAAGATCACCAAAAAAAAAAAAAGAATGTAATGCCAGAACGAGAATGGGGTGTGTACAACAGGGTACCCGGTGTTGGGGACCTTGCGATCACATGTCTTGTGGTGGGGAGGCTACTGAGGGGTAGCGGCTGGCCCACCCCCAGCAGCTGGTCCAACAGTCATATCCTGGTGAATCTCTGTTCAGCTCTTCTACTATGAAAGAAAATGACTTTTTTTCCATATGTATATAGTAAAATACATTACTATAAATTCTATGTATTTTATAAGTATTGGTTTGTGTGTTCCTTCTAAGAAGGACTATAGTTTGTAATAAATGCCTATAATAACATATTTATTTTTATACATTTCTTTCTAATGATAAAACTTTTAAGTTATATCGCGTTTGTAAAAGGTCATATAAAAAGAGTATTTATACGATATATGTTACTAGAAAAATAAAAGGACACTTTTTGAAAAAAAAAAAAAAGATGCCAGCATGCAGGAAAAGAGTGTCCTGACAGCGTTTGGGGTCCTTCCAGGAGCCTCAAAGATCCGCTCTACCCCTGTCCTTCATAAGGTTTGGTTTTATGAGTCAATAAACTCTCCTTTTGGTTTCTGTCACTTTCAAAAAGGGAGTTCTGACAAATACAGGGAGTAGCCAGGCTCCCTGGTAATCTTTTCCTTGTTAGCTTGGCTTGTCCAGGTCCCGCTGCCCCAGTCTGACACATAACACAAAGTGGCTGTTGATCCCCAGTAGGAGTATAAAATGGGTCCCCTCCTATAAACCAGCATCAAACATGCCAGGATGCAAGAAAGAGTCAACCACAGGAAGCCCCACATCCTTCTACCTCATCCAGCATGTCAAGTCCACCCTCCAAGCCATATTTCCTGCATCGTGACCACATTCTCTCTGTCGTGTGTTCCCGTTCCACCTTGGACATCATTTCTAGGCTTGGCTGTTGCTCCCAAGGCTACCTCCAATCTCTCAAAAGGATGTGTTGGCTAGTGGTCCTGGACCCACAGAAAAGGCATTTCAGAGTTAGGGAGGCTTGTTGTAAAATGATCAAAGATTCATGAAAGATATAACAACTGTACGATTTTATGTACTCAATGAAATAACCTCAACAAATATAAAGGAAACACTTACTAGAACTACAAAGAGAAACTGACAAATCCACCATTGCAGTGGGAGATTTCAACATGCTTCTTGCAATTATAGCAAAGACATGGAAACTCTGGAAAACCCAATTTAAAAACTCAATTTGATAACATATATAAAGTCCAAAAAATTAAAGATTACACAGTCTACTCGACACCTGGAATCTATACTAAATTGGCTGAGTAACAGGCTGGAGGCAAATCTCAACAAGTCTCAAGGAAGATATATCATATAGATCTTTCACTGAAACTCAGTTAGTAAGAAGTCATTAACAAGTAGAGAAATTGAAACATTCTTGTACAGTTGAAAATCTTTTTCTGACTGCACCTTGAGGCATGCGGAATCTTAGTTCTGACCCCTGTGAGACAATGGAGTTTTATTTTTAATTGGAGAACCACTTGAGTTGGTTGGTTTCCCTGCTGCCAGGAAACATCACAGCACCTTTGCACAGCACAGAACAGAGCTGGGGCCATCTGCCCCATGGCTAGTGGGGTAGGGTTTGGGGTTCAACCACTGGGTCAGGAAGATCCCCTGGAGAAGGCTCTTTCCAGGGAGAAAGTCCTCTCAGGGAACACAATGGGGTGGGGGGTGGCAAGAAAGGCTAACTAGAGCTTGTTTTCCTCTCTTCTGACTCCCCTTCCCCATATGCACGTGTGTGTGTGCACACATATACACACATACACACATATACAAAGAGACATGCACACTTACACACAGACACATATATACACCTACATACACACACTTACACAAACATACAAACCTACACACAGACACATAAACACATACATAACACAGTAACCCAAATATTCTTGAGTTTTCCAGCCTCCGGTGCCTTACAATCTCTTTTAATGCTTCTAACAAGTCTATGACTCCTCAGTCCTGCAATGCCCCTGCAAGTCTGCCTCCCTCAAATCCAGGCCACAGCCTTTACTCCGAAAAGCAAGGTTAGCCTGAGGCCATAAAAAGGAAGATAAGACAACGACAGCAGAGGGAACAGGAGGTCGGATGGGGAATTTTTGATGAAAAAGCCTTTGAATGTGGGGAGCATCCATGGAGAGGGAGAAGATGGAAACATGGAGAAAAGCAACAATCACCAGAGTGATTTAAGAAAATATAGAGCAACTAGAGGGATTTTTAAGAATCTCTCTGTAATGAAGGAGATCCGGGGTTCAATCCTCGGGTGGGGAAGAGCCCTGGAGAATGGAATGGCAACCCACTCCGGTATTTTTGCCTGGAGAATTCCATGGACAGAGGAGCCTGACAGGCTACAGTCCACGGGATCTCAAAGAGTCAGACATGACTGAGCAACTAACTCACTTTTCACTTTATTATACATAGATGGGATTATATTGTACATATTATCTTGCAACCTGGATTTTTTTTTTTTTACTTACTTTCTTTTTTTTTAAAGATTCTTTTTTGACCTGGACCTGATTTTCTAAAGTCTTTACTGAATTTGTTACAATATTGCTTCTGTTTTATGTTTTGGTTTTTGGCCAGTAGGAATGTGGGATCTTAGCTCCCCTACCAAGGATCGAACCTGCACCCCCCTGCATTGGAAGGCAAAGTCTTAACCACTGGACTGCCAGGAAGTCCCTCTTCTGCTCCAACTACTCCCATAAATTTGCATCTTGCATTCCAGACTCTGTTCTCTGGGGGAAAGGGTCCAGTGGGCAATACCTAACATACAAACCCATCTCTATTCTATCACGGAGACGAGGGGGCAGATATGGTCCCCCTTGGGCTTCTCATGCCCTCAAGTAAATATAGAATGAGGGATTCCCTAAAACTGATGACAAGTGTTTACTGCAATATCCTGCCTCTCTGTTGGGCTTTTTTTTCCTTCTTGTTATTGTAGGAGTTCTTTATACTCTGAATATTAATTACTTGTTATAAATGTTGCAATTATTTCATCCAAGTCTACTGCTTGTTTCCAATTTTAGTGAAGTCAAATCTGTCCATATTTTCTGGAGAAGTAAAATATCATTTCCCCATTTCCCCATATTTCACTTGTAAAAAATCTACGATGTCCTATACTTCTATTAAATCATATCTGCAGACCTGCATTTTCTGTTTCAACTGTAATGAATAAAACACACACAAAAAAGAGAGAATAATACGATGAACACCCAAGTAACGTCGCTCCCTTCAACAATCATCAACATATGACAGGTTTTGTTTCTTCTACACCCATCCCAACATGCCCCCCGACCCCGCTGAACTGTTTCAGAGCACATCTCAGACATGTGATTTCACCTGTAAATATTTCAGCATGGATATCTAAAATAGAGAATCTTCTGGTGTTTCAGCTGTGCCCTGTGGCATGCAGGATCTTAGTTCCTCGAAAGGGATTGAACACTTGTCACCTGTGCTAGGAGAGCGGCGTCAACAACTGAAAGATCAGGGAAGTCACTATTCTATTTTTAACTTAACCAAAACACATCCTATTATACCAAAAATAACTGACAATAATGCCTTATTCAGGTAGTATTCAAAATTACCTGGTATTCCCAGTATGTCTTTTTTCCAAAAATATCCTATTTTTATTTTATTTTAAATTAATGTTTATTGGCATATAGTTGATTCAGTTCATGCATGCTTAGTCGTATCTGACTCTTCGTGACCCCATGGACTATAACCCACCAGGCTACTCTGTTCATGGCATTCTCCAGACAAGAATACTGAAGTGGAAAAAAAAAAAAAGAATAATATTGGAGAGGATAGCCATTCCCTTCTACAGAGGATTTTCCTGACCCAGGGATAGAACTCAGAGCCTGGAAGGTTATAGCCCAAAGGGTTGCAAAGAGTCAGGTCTGAATGAAAGACTACACACATTCACACACTGATTTTTTTTGTTTTTGTTCTTTTCCTGGGCTTCCCTGGTAGCTCAGATGGTAAAGAATCTGCTGGCCATGTATACATACAGTAGTGTATATATGTCAATCCCAATCTGCCAGTTTATCCCTCACCCCCTTCACGCCTTATACCATAATTTTAGAAAT